AATTAGGGGAAACCCTAGGGTTTCTTCCTTATACCCAATGTTCAAGAAGGCAGAGGGTGAGTGCAATGATACTTGGGCTGCCAACTCGAAGGGGGGGGGGGGAGGGGGGGCTCTAGACCCTTGTGAACTACAAATCAAACTTAAACATACATGACTTTGAACTGTGAATAAAATAGCTAAAAGTAACATTAAAACAATGCAAATTACTAGCCATAAATAGGAAATGTTAATTTTCTATCATACTTTTCTCAAATCTCGTGATATCCATTACATCTTGCAACAAACAACACAAAGAAAAAAGTCAACTTACAATTCTAGAGGCATAATCTAGGAAAAGTAGTCTTTTAGATAACAAATATCATCACCATTATCCGTGCCTTATCCCAACTATTTGGGTCGGCTATAGGTTCAAGATTCATAAAAAGATGCGGCAAAGTTTTATGCTGGTTGTCGTACCTAACACCACCCTCCTCCTATTTGGGACCGGCATGACTGGGTTGGGAGAGGCCATGGCAAAGTTTCTAGATAACCAATATGATGAATTCAAATAGGAGATTGAGTTTCATCATCACTAGCAACATATTGTCCATGTCCACGGACCACGGCCAACATGAAATGCACGTGAATCTGATGATGATGCCAAGTAAGTCATCCTCCTCCTCATAATGACCTTTTTCCGCTGTCTTCTCTCAGTCTGCTTCATCCTCCTCTTTGTCTTCTCCTTCTCCTTCTCCCTCTCCTTCCCCTTTCCCTTCTCCTTTGCCATCGCCTTCCCCTTACTCCAAGTTTGAGATCTAGTAATTCGTATGGGGCTCAATGCTATACCAGTCGCCACATGTACTTGGGTCCATGTCAAGCTCTCCATCCTCCTCAACCAACCATTCGCTTGTTTCATCCAAATCTTTGACAACTATGGGTATTCTATGGTGCTCCTTCAGCTTCTGATTATACTGAATGGAAACAAGGTCGTTTAGTCTCTCTTTCTCAAGTTTATTTATCTTCTTGGTATGTTTCTATTTCATAGTCCATTGAATTGTAAATATGCCCATTTCCATTTCTTTTTCACTATCCACAAGGAGCAGTACTTTTTACAAGTGGCTCAAAAAGATCGATGCAATACTCAACCCACTTCAAAACTGGGGTCTTGTAACAATGTCATTCATCATTTTCTCCTTTGCCTCTTTAGACCGCTTGCTTTCCTTCCAATTTGAGGAGACAAATATGGTTCCAAGCTTGTCTTTTTGGTTGGTAAGAGAATCCAAAGATAAGTATGAAGTTGCAAACCTTGTGATCCCTGGCCTCACCAAGTCAAGCCCCTTTTGTATACTTCCTCATCATGACTTAAACATTGGCTGTAAATGAAAATTGTTACAACTTTTGCTTTATCTATTATTCCCTTAACCACTGTCCTCTTGCCAATTGCCTCAAGCATCTGATCAATGCAAGGTGCCATGCAAGGCGTCCAGCGTCCAGAAACTGTGCAGCCCCCATATCTCCAACAATCTAGCAGCTGCCATATCGGCCTTAGCCACATCAGCAACAACTTGCATGACATGTGCCTCCCCCACCTCCTCAGTAGACTTTCCATTACTCCAAATATGAAACCGCATCACGAATCTTATCAGATGCATCATTGGACATCAAAAAAAAATGTTTCCGTAGGACAATTAACCAGTAAATTCATAATACTCTGTCCTCTTATCGTTCCAAGTATATGTTAGAATGGTCACCCCACATATGCCCCATGCATCCTTGTGGGTCTTCAGGTACTAATTTCTGAGCTCCTCCTCTTTTTTCAATAAAGGAACCTTGACCTCATAAGTATATCATGGTCCTCTACGAGGTCGATCTTTTGGTATAAGCCTCGGACATGATCGACAAGTGGAGCAAGAGATATTGTAGAGAGAAATCCGCAAAAGTTCAAACTTATGCAAAAAACAGTTTACGTGACCTCTTCGCGCTTCGATGGCCATAACTCGACATCCGGTTGTCAGATCAATCTCAAAATTGGTGCATTACGATTGTGACTCAATTATTATGCCCTACAAGGCACTAAATGCACAAAGGACCCGTGTATTGCGCAACATGCACCACACATTGCACCCGCACGCTTTAAAAGCGAACTACGCTCTGCGTGATGTGTACCATGCACTATAGAGATGAGGCAGACGCGAATCACGCACCCACAACGTTCAGCCGCGCATGACGCATTGTGCCTACATCTGCTCACTGTGGGGTGGCTGTGATCACTACCTAACGCGTGTTTTTATGCAACTCAATGTCCACTATTCATGTGCTGTAGGGGCCCTATATCCTAAGCCAAACTGCCCCACTGCCTCCAATAGAGCTTGGAAGTTCTTCAAACTGGCAGTATTAAAAACCAGACATGCTTGATACTTCCATCGTGCTACATACTGATTAACCTGATCCCTATCCTGCTTCTTCAAATGATTCTCTAGACTAGTCTGAGCCTGCACCCTTTCTCGAACTACCACCTTGAGATCGGCAAGGGGAAGAATGTATCAATAGGCCCCTGTCTTCGAGGCCTATTTTACCTAAATGTGCTTGTTTCCATAGATATTTATAGATCTCGTCATGTCTTCATATTGTTTCCTTGTCTCTTCTCTGTTCTTTTAAAAGTCCAACATCTCTTTTCGAACATCTTCAGGGATTTGAGTACATGGTGCTACATCCCTTCTAATGCCGGCCAAATTCTATCTTCAATCGATTAATGCTAGCATTGTACTCCTTTTTACAGAATTTGCAAGCTACCATATTCTTGTGATTAGGATTGGGACAAAACCCATATTTCCAACCTGGATCAGCTTGTCTATTTGAACTCGAGGAAGGCATTGTCACCTACAACCCCAAGTTATAACCTAATCTTGAAATTACACAAAACCACCAAAGTCAAACTTTATCAAGGCATGTATGTTGGGAAGACTGGCCTTTATCATGGCAATGTGGCCAATGAATGAGAAATCTACTTTTTCAAGCTGCTAGCTTGCACTGAGATCTATCAACGACTGGATCCCATAAGGTCCTTTTAGGTGTACATAAGCACAATGGGAGGCCAAGGTATTTGCTAGGTAGTGTATCTGTGTCACACCCTACTCTTCAAGCTTACAGCTGAACCTTGGCCTGAGGGATGGCTATCCCAACGAGTTTGGCTTTGACATATTGACCTTTAGTCTGGAAGTGAGTTTGAAACACCTGATGAGCAACCTCAGGTGGTGGACCTGCTGTGGTTTGGATGGGAAATTGGTGTGCCACTTTGTGAGGTGGAGAAGCCATTGAGCAGACCTTGGCTGTATTATCTGGAGATGGAAGCACTGAACATTTCCACAATAATCAAAAGAGGAAAGAGGATGGGGTCTCTTTGGAGGAGGCCCCTTGATGGAAGGAAGAAGTCATGAGGACTTCTGCTAACCAAGATGGACAAGAAACAGAGGAAACACATCCTGAAATCCAGGCATGCAATATTCTGCCGAAAGTCCGAAACCTATCAGTGCCATAGCCTGATCTAGAACCTGTCACTTTACATGATTATAGGCCTTTTCAGAATCCAGTTTGAGGATTAGGCCAGAAAATGAGGTGTCTGGCATGGATCAAAGAATCTGTATTTCTTGGACAAAAGCAGCTTGCAGTGGGGATATGACTTGGCTAGGCACATTGCTCAGGCAGGAGGCTAGCAATTTGGCTAATACATAGCCTTCACAAAAGTCTATCACTCAATCATCCTCTCTAATGTCTGCTTGACATTTTCTAGAATTGTGATTTTCTTCATTTAACAAATGTCCTAGTTGCGGAGTGTGTCATGCATTTGTGTGGTTCTTTTCCAAGATGTCTTTACGTGGGATATCTTTTACGTAGTGATGTTTATTTTGATGGAGAGCATGCGAAAGGTTTACTTTTCTACTGATCTGCACGATTGTGACAGAAATTCTAGATTAAATGGGCCTGGGCGCCTAGTTTTTGGGGTAAGTAATGGATGGAGTGAGGATTTGAGTGTTGACTATGCTGGAGCTTTGTGGCAATTTTCTAAGTTATTAATTATATATATTGGCTTTGACACAGTTCGATTCTCCGATAAGAAGCAGCAACTTTGACAAATGCCCTGTCATCTGCATATTTGATGCAAATCTTTTCATTCATTGATGGGTGTGTTGGTCTATCCACTCAAAACCACCTAAGGGGCTAAATTGACATGCTCTACCATGTGGGGAGCTCAACCTTACAAGATTGGTTCATCTTGTCGCACGTTTGAGAGGATTCATTCGATCATTCCTAAGGCTTCATTCGGGGGTTTGCTGAAAAAGTATTAGTAGGACATAAGTCATAATCAGGAGTTGGTGCAGGCTATGTGGCTGTTTCTATTTGACATAATGTTGATGGAGTGGCCAGCAGATTTATTGAAGATTTCGTGGGCGATCTATGATGGGGTTGGCCTGGACTGTTCTGCTCCCCTAGGGAACTCAATAATGTCTCGAGGACAAAGGACGTGGAGAAATAGATTCTGGGATATCTCAACATAGATTGGATCAGTAAGGAGTTGAATAGTTTGGGTAGGAAGGGCAAGTGCTTGAGGTGGATAAAGGACTTGTTCAAATTGGAATGTCAACAATAATGCCGGATGGCAATGCCCACTTCTTCAGAAGGTGCAGAAGTTCACACTTGAAATGAATCTCAATCTCTCAAGTTCTATACTGGAGTTCTTCAGAATATGCATGTAAGGTCAGGTGGGTGTATCTAGACTTTGTTACTTTTGAGAGCAGTCTTGGTAGGGATGGGCCTTTACTGATGATGAAGACGGTGGTGGTTGCTAGATTAATAGAATATTTTGTTCATCTCTATGATATGAACTCGAGAAATGGCATTCTCTTTATTATTATTGTTTGCATTTTCTTGTGCTTGATTAATTACGACATTTAACTACCTGTCAAAGCGGTTTTATTTTGTAAAACTGATGTGTTTGATGGTATTCTTGTCTTGAAATGCAGGTCAAGATTAGGGAACAGAATAATGAAGTGTCGAGAAAACTTATGAGAGTATTGGAAAGGATGAGGAAGGGCGACCCATCCTTTTATCAGCATGGCCTTCTAGTTAGACAAGGGGAGCAACCAAGAGAAGGCTCGTTGCTACTACTTAATCTCATTGAAGATCAGATAGGGGGGACAAGTGGCTACCTGGATTGGATGGTGCAGATGCACCGCCAAGTCCATCAAAATGTTTAGAGGTTTTTGTTTTTTAAATCCCATCCATTCTGTTTGCCTTTTATCAGTCCGATTTTCACTCCAGTTTTGTTCATGACACATATTGGTTGCTTGCCCCAGAAAAAGGAGGAGAAAATGATTCCCATAATGAACATTACCCGAATATCCAAATCTTCAGGTGTCTTGGTGCTCTTGGGTTTTGTTTTAATTTTATTTTTGTATTTTTGTTCTCCTTTTGCTCAAGTTAGAGTTAATGAGTTCATTGGATTGTCTTTTGCCTTTTGATGTGCCTCGATTTTTTTTTCTATAAATTATGAGAAAAGTGATGAATAAGATGAGTTGTATAACTCTGTTAATAAGGGTGCACATGAGCTTTTCTTTCCTCACTGAATGAGGGATATGGTTGCTGTCGTCTTCGTTATTACTCACATGGGCATTTGCTGCTAGCTTTGACTATAAGCCATTCTAGGAATTTACCCATTCAACCCCTGATATATGCTTTGTAATATAGGAAAATATAGGAATTCTAGGAGTCATTATCTTGAAGAGTTGGAAATGCCTGTGCAAAATGAGGGTTTTGGAGAAATGCAATGAATATTGCGTCAAGTATCATGAATTCTTAAATTCTCATTGATTTGGCTGTAAAACCAGGGGGATTTGTCCTCAAAAGTGAAGCAGGTTCTGCTTAGCCCCACTTCATGCTGCTTCATCTGAAATCTTCAGCCAAAAACAAAGACCTTCCTTTATATATAAAATTTTCATTTTTATTTTTTGTCATTTTTTGAGAGAAACCAGAGGACTTCACCAAAGGCAAAGAGGTTACAAAGCAAATTTGGCATTGTGTGTTGTCCATTTCGCCACTATTTTGAAACAGTAGAGCTCCTATTTGGTGGGAGGAGTTCCCATTGGCGAGGGTGCATTTGGTTCGCAGGAAATCTCTCTTGGAGACTGATTTTTGAGAAATCAGCTCCTTTCTTTGAAATGCTGCTAATTTGTATGACGGAATGAATATCTGCATTTTGGTACTCCTTTCTTTGAAATGCTGCTAATTTGTCTGACGGAATGAATATTTCTACATTTTGGTACTGCTTTCTTACGAAACAAACATATGAAGACAGCTTGATCAAAGGAAATCTCTCGCGGAGAGAGATATTCCATGATCCAAACGAGCCCTAAAAAAATGAGCAGTGGCAACTGGACATGACTGACTTCAAATGAGGTCCATTTTTCTTTAGAAATTCGGTACAAATCGTTTAAATTTACAACCTAAACGGTGTCAAGATATGGATAAACCTATAGATATTTTCTTCTGGGACTTTGGAAGAATGGGGGAGATTTTCGAATGAGGAAGGGATCCAATTGCTTTGAAAGAGAATAATTAAATTTCAATTGAAATGAAATCTTCAGAAGGAATTAATGAAGGGTGAGGTTTGTACGAGGTGCCTTACTTGTATTGTAGAAATAAGGGGTAACCTCTAAATTTGGTCTAGAGAAGTAGTTGTAATGCTGGAAACTGATTGCTTGAAAATCTATTTTTATTTCTAGTTATGAAATTTGAAATTCTAAAAATGGTATAGATCAAGAGGATCTTAAACACTTTTAAATCTTGAAAATTGATGGTTCAGATAATTTGTTACAAGATGTATTATTTAAGTGGGATTTAAAATTCTACCATCAGGACACACTCCTCTCTATAGGATTTCTTGGTGCACCTTACATCAAGGTTGAAATGTTATATAACTTTTTCCATTAATGGAAGGACGTCAATTCAAATTTTGGCCCTTCAAATTGAGAGAGATCTAAGAATTCTCACTATTTTTAGATTCATGACCAAATCGATATAGCGGGATTTTTCATTCACATTTTTCACCAATAACACTTTCGAAGCTCTCTAATCCCCATATTTGGAGTATCCTACTTTCCTGCAATTCATTGGCTTTAATAAGTAACAAGCAATCGATATTCCATGATCAAAGGTGTAGTACTGCTTGTAATAGCATCCTATATATTCCAAATATGGTTGAAAGAAAGAAAATCTCTATTCGATTAGGTTTCTTTCTGTTGGGCCTATGAAATAATCTGTTTTTGTTTATTATTATCAATGAGTTGATTGTTTTGCTCGTGGTTATTCAATTTTAGAACTAGTAATTGATCAAATGGAAAGAAAATCCCCAAATTCGGGCGTTGAAAATTGTTTGCGATAATTATCACAATGAGTTTTTTTTTTTTTTTTCTGAAAGACGCGAAAAAGGCAGTGCTAGTAATTCTAGATGAAGGAAAGGTTTTTTTTTTTGGGTTCCAACGGTGAAACACGGGAAAATGGGGCTATTGTTGGGTGGGTCAGCCAGCTCATCTGTAGATGTGCGGGCCCCTTAAAAATCTTTTTTAAAGATGGATTTTGGATCTAAAATTTTGAGATTTGTTAATTTTGAGATTTGTTAATCTCAACCATTGTGGTTATTATACATATGGATTTTTTTTGAAAAATAAAATTTATATATATTTTTAATATGCTTTTCCATCCTCGTATAGTGAAAGCACCAAGTTTTTGACGTCCATATTTATACAATGGATGTATGATGCATGAGGTGATGACACTGACCGTGTTCTTTTCACAAATCAATCAATTCCTAGGTTTGGCAATTTCGATCGGATTGAGCCGGTTCAGACTAATTTGAAACTGTCGGGGACTGATTTAGAGTTGGATTTTGTGATTTTTGTTTGATTCGAGGATTTTCTGTCCCTAAATCTAACAACTTTTGCTATTTGTACCTTTTCCATGAAAAATTTGGAAAATGGTGAACTAGATGAAAATCACCGTATCAGGTGAAAGCAATGTTGTGAAATTTGTTTCGCTTCGGCTGAAGTCTTTGGATCGTCGTCCTAAACCGATGCGAAGCGAAGCTCTAGTGCCTCCGCTTCAGCATGCTTTGGGCCCCTTTGGTCAACTTCCATCTGATTTGGCTTCTTCTACAGAAGCTTCAACCTCTTTGGCCCGAAGCACAAAATTGTTTTAAAAAGGGGATTCTGTGCTTTGGCTTGCGTCGGTGTGCTTTGGCCAGCGTCCGTGTGATTCGGCCTCTTTAGTTGAAGCTTCGGCCCCTTCGGCCGAAGCATAGAATTGTTTTTTTTTTTATTGATTTTATTTTTATTTTTATTATTTTTATATATTTATATAATGTTCTTAAAATTTCTAAATCTTCTTCCGAATTGACCAAAGCTCTGAAAAGCTTTATTTTCCAAATCGAAGAGAACTCCAAAGCGAATATCACAACATTGGGTGAATTTGTTACTCTTTCAAATTCTTTGGCAGGAAGAATTTATGAACCCAAAATTATATTCTTTGCATGATTCATAATTAGGAATTAGATTTGAGATCTGGAGATAAAAGTAGGGAAATTTATATTCAGCCTTTTACACTTTTGATACCATTCCAATATTGTGAGTTTTTTTATGGTATTTTGAAATTAAATCAAACAACATGGATTCAATGATAAATAGTTCATCTCATTTCGGTATTTTGATAAGTTTAAGGGAAGTGCACGTACAAAATAAAATCACATTTCAAAACCCGCATGCACGAGATCTCTGCATGCCCCTTTTGAAAATTGAGACTCGAAAAATTACCTTCACGCAAAAATCTGTATGATATCTATTTCAGCTCGTGAGTTTGAAATTTGAACCCAGTGCATATTTAGCATATAATAAAGAGATATGTAGATAATGTGTTACAAAAAGAAAAAAATAAAGGCGTATAAGGGCCTCAAATATATACTACAAAAGCACTTAAAAAAATCCACTAGAATTTAACTGTGCTTCTTTGTTTTGGGATTGTATTCAATGAGATTATTTACCTTTGATATAGAAAGGTCACGATTACTTACAACCATCTGATGTGAAATCTGATAGCTTGGATGTGTCACAAAGTTCGTGAAAATTTCTTTTGAACTTTGAGTTTGATAAATGAAATAAATGTGGCCACCCAATTTCACATCCAAAGGTCAAGATTAATTGTGAGCACCTTGTACCAAAAATAAATGATCTCATTATATACTTTTTCTTTTTTCTTTTCTTTTTTTCCTTTATATTTTAGCTTATCTAGTGCTTAATTTGGTCTCCCTAGCTTGTTCACCCACCCGCCACACACACACACATACACAACGGAAGCAAACCTCTCTTTTAAATCTTTATTTTTAAATTTTTTTGAGATGCACTGATTTGGACCAGTCGAAACCGACAACCTGATACAGATCTATGGGGTGGACAATCTACCTTACCAATCTATGTTTTCAAACAATAGTATGAATATTTTTAAAATTCAAATTCTAAAAGCAGTGCATTATGTAACACATTATTTAGGCCATCTATTTTCAAATTTTAATTGATTAATATTTTTAGGAAAATTTTATATACGATGTCAACCTTATACCATATGAGTAAGGTGCACCTAAAAAACCCACTAGAGAGGTTGTTCTTATGCTAGAAAACCCTCAAATCGACCATATCGACTTCAAGATTCATCGACATGAAAAAAAAGAATTTCTAATCCTAAAAATAATTCATCTGTCTAACATAATATATGGACTATCCATTTTCAAGATTTTCAAGTGTGTATAGATATGACTGATCATCACTATTTATGGAATTCTAAATTTTATAATTGGGGGCAATAATAGATTGTCATATTATCGTAAGGCTTTGCGGCACTGAAATTGTATTTTCGTTATAATTTTGAGGTGCACCTTAGTTCAATAGTATAAGGTTGACACCTTATACAATCCTCACCCATATTTTTATAAATGTGTTGTATATGCTAGACAAATACCCATAAGAGATGAACTATTTGACAATTTTCAAGTGACGTAACCAAGACAGTGGAGATGGCTTGATGCTGCGCTCTGCGTCCTCGACGTGATATGACCCAACCACTACAACAGATGAATGCTTGCCTCCCTCCCTCACATGATTCGCTTTGGGTGATGGTGGGGTGGCAGCCGTGTTGCGACATGTCCGGATCGAGCAAGGCAGTGGTTGACGGTCGTGACTTGATGTCACCCGACATGATTCGCTCTGGGTGATAGTGGTGGAGATAGCTTGATGCTAAATTGTTGCGTCCTCGACATGATAGGACCTAAGTTCTGCAGTGGAGAAAACTTAGCCACATGATGAATTATCTTCGGAAAAATTAGGTAAATATCTATTTTATTTTTCGTTATTGCGAAACTACCTAAAACTTTTTGTTCTTACTTATATATCCGTTTTCGAACTTCATAACAATTTTTTTTTTTTTAAAAAAAATGAATATAACCATTTTCAGTTTTTCAAAAAATAAAAAATTTAAAAATTTTCAATTTTTGAAAAACCGAAATTTTAATAATTTTGATTTTTGAAAAACCGAAACTTTTCCCTCTAAATGTGCACTCAATTTCGTCCTTCTCTAAAATTGGTCCAAATCTTTAATTCCTTATATATAATATGATATATAATATTGTTACTACTATTACTCAAATTGTGTATTAGTGAAAAGCATACAGGCATTTTTGGTATCAAGTTTTGCCTATTCCACAAAAATAATTGAAACGACATAAGGAAAGAAAGATTTGTCTAGGAGTCCCATCATCTTTCCAAAAAAAAATTCATTTTCCCAATTGAGCTTTTGATGTGATCAGTTGCATCAATGGCGAGAGGCTTTAAAGATTGATGCAAGGTTTTAAAGATTTGATGCTTCCATTAGGTTGCAGGCCCAATGAAATTGAGAGATTTTCATAACTTTGAAGCTCTAAGCATCATCCAACAAAGTTTTTCTACAAAGGGGCACTACAGCCCGCAATGGTGAGGAGCCTGCAGACAAGAGGAGGGGCAACAACTAGAAAACAAAGGACAAGCAACCAATTTTAAGATTTTCCCCAAATAAAAAACTTTTTCCCAAATAAAAAACACAATCAATTTTAAGATTTTCCCCAAATAAAAAACAGAGATTTTCCCCACATAAAAACCAAAGGGCAAGCAACCAATTTTAAGATTTTCCCCAAATAAAAAACAAAAACAAAGATCTTCCCCAAATAAAAAACAAAGGGCAAGCAACCAATTTTAAGATTTTCCCCAAATAAATTCTTTAAAAAATAGATTGACTCGAAGCATTAACATGAATGTGTAGAGGTATGCACTATAACCAAAAAACCAATTCATGCTCAAGTTTAAATATTTGAGCATACATAATATTGATAAACAATCAGTACAACATACATAATATTGATAAACAATCAGTACATAGGCTGAAGCCAACTTGGACGAGTCCCCAAATAGTGAAATTCAGTTTTTCAAAAACCAAAATTTCGGTTTTTAAAAAGCTAAAGATAGATATATTCACCTTTTTTTTTTTTAAAAAAAATTGTTATAAAGTTAAAAAATTGGACATTTGAGTAATAATGGAAACTTCTAGATATTTTTGTAATAATAGAAAATAAAACAGCTATTTATGTAATTTTCCCATTATCTTTTTAATAGATGTTTTAAATTAGAATACGGAGATTTGGATAAACAGTTAATCTCCTCTGAGTTGATAAATTCTAATTTGATTGTTTAAAGACTAGGCTCTATACAAACCACACCTTTTATATAATTACGCGCAAAAATAAATTACCACAATCACATTGAGCCTTTTAAACCTGCAACAAAGGTAAACAACACCTGTTGAGCCTTCTAAACCGGCAACAAATGCAACACTCGTTGCAAAAGGGAAAAATTTGTTTAGAGCGTAAATGATCAAATTTAAACCTACCTCAAGACTTTCACTGAGATTGTTTTGAATGCTTAAATATTATCAAATTGATCATCTCAACATCAAGATACATGGACATGAGAAAAATAAAGGATTTCAAGGTTTGGAAATGATGCATCTTGTAATGCATATTTGAATTGTTATTTTTCAAAATTTTCAAGTTCTCATAGATCTGCTCTATCTATACTATTTTTAACGCTTTAAATTTTGGACACAGTTTTTATGCGGCCAGCTTGCAAAATGTAGAAATGCGGGCCTGACAATAAATATATTTTTTAAATACAATTTGATCGTAAATTTTAGAGAATATATAATCTGTCATATGGAGATCATGGATATGAAAAAAAATAAACAGAAATGAAAAGTAGAAATAATAGTTATATTAAAAAAATATTTCGATTGTTAGTTAAACTTGTTTTTAAACGGACCACTAATTTGCATCGATGGATGCTTTATACCTCTGGATCGCATATTGAAGAAATGTGGTCCATCCCGCATGAAACAAATTTTCTTAATTGTGTAACTAAAGATATGAAAATATAATTGGGAAAATTTTATATGTAGCTCTAGACAACCAAATTAGAGTCTACCTAAAAAATTTCACTAGAAGATGTTGTTTTGATGCTCAAATATCCTCAAATTGATCCTCTCAACATCAAGATACATGAAAATGAGAAAAAAATGGATTTCAAGTTTTGGAAATAGTATATTTTGTAATGCATTTTTAGACTGTCAATTTTCAAGATTTTCAAGTTTTCATAGATCTGTCGATCTACACTATTTTTGAAACTCTTAACTTTATAAATAAAGACGAAAATATATTTTAAGCCTATAACAAAGATTTTCAGTATTGAAACTAGCTTTCTCAACACTATTTAAAGGTGGGCTATAATTTGATTGTTTAGAGCCTAGGCTCTATACAAACCGCACCCTAATCAATATAATTTAAGGGAAACCATATTTCTCCGAGTGCGGTTGAATTAGAGCTTAGGCTCTATACAAACCGCACCCTAATCAGTACAAAGCCTATGCTCTAAACAATCAAATTAGAGCCTACCTTCAAATAGACAACCTATAAAAAATTGAAAATCTTGAAAATTGATGATAAAAAAATACGTTACAAAATACACTATTTCAAAAACTTAAAATCCATTTTTTTCTCATGTCTATACACTTGATGGCTAGAAGATCAATTTGAGTACCAAAACTACATCTTCTACCTAGTGAAACTTTTGAGATAGGCTCAAATTTGATTGTTTAGAGCCTCGGCTCTACATAAACTTTTCCCGACGCTATTTGAAGGTGGGCTTGGTTTAGAGCTCGGCTCTATTCAAACTGCACTCGTGGCAAAATGCATCATATTCAGTAGTGTACCTGGTTTTTTCTAACACTGCGGAGAATTACCGGTTGTAGCTTGTCTTGAGAGAGAATGAGACATATGGGTTCTCTCTCTAAACTTGCAGCTTGTTTTATGGAAACTCTTAGAGCAACAATCTCTGCATTTCTCTCTTTTATATTGGAGAGAGAGAGGAGAAAGATGGTTATCTTGCCAGATGATTTGATGATCCATATATTTGCAGCACTGCCAGTGAAGTCCGTATGCAGATTTAAGGCGGTGTCGAAATCATGGAAAAAGTTGCTATCCTCACACTACTTTGCCATTACCCATCACTCTCTTTCTACCTCCCAATCTTTCTCTCTCCAACTACAAGGCCCCTACAACGACCAAGAAATTCTGTATGCGAGTGCTGAGAACATTAAGGATTTGTGTTCCGGTAAAAAAACAGGGTTTCAGCTTCAAGGCCTGAGATGGATTGCCTGCCACAATGGCATTGTGTGCTGTCTCGTAGTTTCGGAGACAGAGGGCTCTTTCTTCTTTATTGGGAACCCTTTAACCCAAAGAGAATTTGTCGCTCTGCCAAAACTAGATTTTCATGTTCGTTATAATTCCTTTGGATTTTACTTTGACCCCATTAATCAAAACTTCAAAATAGTTGCAATTACTTGTACAGAGACTGGTGCCTCTCTGATATTTGATTCATCAATTGGGGAATGGAGGTGTCCAAGAAATCAACCACCTAATGATATTGATCGTCGATGGTCGGTAGTTTCTGTTGGTTCTGAATGTTATGTGTATTCTTTGTATACTCTATACTTGCAGGGTATGGACCATCTAATGTGTTTTGACATGGAGAGAGAAGAATGGGAAGTAATCCATACTCCAATTTGGCTCGCTAGCTCATGCTCTTACGAAATCCAAGAGAGGGATGGTCGGCTTTGTATAATACAGTTAACTGTAGATGAAGTAGCACAAGCACAGATATGGGTTCTACTTCAAGATAAGAGGTGGCAGCAGTTAATGAAAACAGATTTAGGGCAGTTGGGGCTTCATAAATTGGAGGAATTGGGGGTGGAGTTTGGAGAATTTCGCATACATCCAGAATTCTTGATTGGTGACACATTACTTTTGAACATGAACATCTTGGCTATTGATGGTCATTCAGATGTTGGTTCATGGCGGCAAGTTGGTTGGTGGAAGGTACAATATAACATAAAGAGTGGTGAGCTAGGGAAAATGGTTCAAGATGCTCAAACCAGGTTTTTCATGTATCAACCCACACTATTGACCTGCAAGAAGGAAAAGGATGGAAAAATACATTTGGGGTAGTCTATAAGTTTGGTTTATTTACATCTCTAATGAAATCTTTGTTTTGTGATTAAATAAATAATGAAGTCTGGTCTCTAATTGGCTAGTCTGGTCTCTAATTGGCTAGATTGGGTACTGTGGAATGTTTTTGCTTCTTTTTTCATGGATAAGTAAGCAGGATTGAACCCAAAACTCACTGTTGTAACAAAAAGATCTTCTATTTGAGTGAGGGGCTCAAACTTGGCCAGTTTTTGTGTAAGTGCAAAAGTAAGTTTATATTATTTTCGAAAGACAGTTTATTTTAGACGTTAATTCTGGAATTCTCATGTGAGCATTGCATCGTTGTAGCAATTGATTGACATTTGCAGTACATTATGAAAACATGAACTGTCAGTACTTTGCACTTCATTGCGTCAGTTTCTTTTATTTGAAATTGGGGTTTCTTTTACATCTTTGTGTGTTTTGTTATCCATGCTCATTGCTGCGTTGTTATTGTAAGACTATTTCGAGTCTTTGAAAGCATTATATGCATGATTTCTAGTGTATGAGTGTAATAGACTGGTAGATATTGATTGTAATGGTCTGTCAATCAAGGGATATGTTACTCTTGATAACTCAAGCCGTCATGTTACCAATATGAATAGAAATCTGTTTCTGAAGTGAAACTCCTGCAATGTTACCTGTCTTGTTCTTTTTTCATTTGTATATAATGGGAATGAAGTAGTGCTTTAATTGTTTCTCATGTTATGGTTTGATAAACTCAGATTAGCTAACTGACAAGTTCATTTTAACAGAGAAAATAGTTCATTTCTTTTAGTTGTGAAAAATGATGTAAACGTTAAACTTCAAACTGCTTCATGGATTAGAGACCAAGGCTCTTGTAATCTTGAGCGTACACTTCAATCACTCTTCCACCCTTCATAAGTTGTTTACATGATGCTCTAAAAAGCAACTTTGTAGAATGCAGCGTTCCTGGGCTGATTTCTACGAGCACTTTGTCTCATCCAATCTCTTGCCAAAACGCCAGTAGTCAATCATAACTTTGTTTTGAATCCATAGTCATGTGAAGCATCTATGGAACTACTGCAAAATTGGGAGCAGGGAAGAGACAGTACTATTTTCTAACATGATCCCTGTCCTTACCATAGATATGATGACTCACACAAACTAGTCTATTAAAATTTCACATGAACTAGTCTATCGAAATATCATTGTGTTTCATTGAAATAATCCATCCATGGTGCACACTTCTAACTTTAACTTCATTTCCATTTTTCTTTTTGTATGTGTGTGTGTGTGCGTGTGCGTGTGCTCACATGCTGACAGGTGCCATAGCCAAGGAGTAGGGAGGGAGGGAGGGATTCTGACAGGTACCTCGATAAAGCTTGAATATTTTACTTGTAGGTTTTATTGATGGAGAAGAAAGATTGTTTCTCTTGTTCAATATGCATCTGATTATTTCCAAAACTCTTAGAAAAGATATCTTTCGCTTTCCCAATTTTTTTGGAGTGATAAAAGGGAGATGAATTTTCTCTTCTCATGTGGCGAGATGATATGGTTATCAAGGTCCCTGTTGCCAAGCCAATGAAGTCCATATGATCAAAAAGGGAGAGAGAAGGCCGATGAATTTTCTCTACCTACCTCTCAATCTTTCTCCATTGTACAATGTTCTATGCTGACACTCACAATATTAGCAGTCCTTTGTTTACAAACATAGAGGCTCATCATTAAGACCTTGACTTGGTGTCCTGAGCCCTGTCGTAATGGAATGGTATGTCAAAGAGATATTTCTTTATTTGCTATTTAAAACCCTCTTACCTGACAGAATTCTTTCCTCTACCATAGAGTTTCAATTGGACAGCTCTGGATTTTTGTTTTGCCCCTTTACACAAACTTCAAGATAGTGGTACAATCTGGCACTGATAAAGACACCAATCCTCATTGTTTCAATGCCTTTTTAATCTTTGATTCATTGATTGAGAGATGGAGAACACCAAGAAATATGCCTCAAGTGCACTATATACTCTATGAATGTTGGTTTGTATTATCACCAATTGCTACGGACTGTCTACACAAACACGAAAGGTGTTTTGTAACAAGTTTTCACATTGCGAGAGAATAATGGGAAACAAGATGCATTATTTTAAGTGAGGTTAATTTTTTTTTTTTCCATATCCATACATCTAGACGTCGAGATGATTAAATTAGAGGGTTTCCCAACATGAGATCACTCTCTAGTATTTTTGAGGTGCACCTTACTTCAAGGGTGAAACCTTATATAAGGTTTCTATTAATGAAAGGACATCAATTCAAATTCTGGTCATTCAAATTGAGAGAGATCAAGAATTCTCACTATTTCTTAGATTCATGACCAAATCAATTTACTGGGAATTTTCGTTCATATTTTCTTTCACCAATAACATTTGTTGAAACTTTTTTACCCCCGTATTTGGAGTGTCCTTCTTTCATGCAATTCACTGGCTTTAACAAACAATTGATATTCCATGATCAAAGGTGTAGTACTGCTTGTAATGGTAGTCTATATATATATTAGATAAACATTCCAACTATGGTTGAAAGAAAGTAAATATGTCAAAGAAAACAACTTTAATTTATAGAAATAAACCTTAATGCAATCTAGGATTTTCTCTTACAATCCATTACAATTCTTTGCAATAAAAACAAAAATACAATGCATGAAGTACCAAGAAATATGGAGCCATTAGAATTATTGAATTCCTTGTCTTAGGTTACCCCCAAGAACTTCGTACACTCCACACCGGGTCTCTTCCTTTGATGGAGCACGGGATCTGGGTTATTCTTGAATCTCAGCGAATGAGAAGCAATGCTGAACCTTTTAATCGCACAGAATTGGGGCTTTTCTTCTTTTCACACTGTATGGGGCATTCCCTTTAGTTTGCTTCTCAAAACCCTAGGGGCGTGCCCCTCTTTTCTTATTTGGATTCTATGAGAGAAAGAGAAGGGTGGAGGTAGATAAAGTGGCGTGCCACCTTGAGGCAGGAAGAGAGAGCTCAGGTCTTAGGTTGTGTTTTGAAGACCCCCATTAGATGCTTATATAGGATTGAGGCTAGGGTTAGGGTTTGACATCCTTATGAGATTCCATCTAGACTATTGATCAAAAGTGACTTGTGGGGTGAGAGATCTTAGCCATACAACCCATAGATCAACCATCGTGATCTAATGGAAGGTGCCAGACCTTTATCCCTCAGCTTCCTTAACCTAATCCAATCAAATATTATGTGTAAAAAAATTATGTCAACTCTTTCCTTTTATTTTTAAACAATCTCTACTCATTCCTTTTTTAAATCAATTAGCCCTTTTTTACACAACCTCCCTATTTGCTTTCTAAATCAATTTGGTTGGCTTGTTACATAAACCTCAACCTTTAGAAGGTGATAAATGGTGGGGTTGTCCCACTATAGTGTACCCCACTCCCATATCAAGATGGGTCTCAAATGGTGGGGCCTTATGTATTATGCGCCCCATAGTAATTGTTATTTTAAACTCATAAAATGATTTTTAGAAAACAAATAGTATTTTTATGGAAGGTAGCATATAACTGAAAATGGTTCAAGATGCTCAAACCAGGTTTTTCATGTATCAACCACACTATTCACCTGCAAGATGGAAAAGGATGGAAAAATACATTTGGGGTAGTCTATAAGATTGGATTATTTACATCTCTAATGAAATCCTTGTTTTGTGATTAAATATGTATGGAAGTTTGGTCTCTAATTTTTCATGGATAAGTTAGCAAAATTAAACCCACAGCCTCAGTCTTGTAACAAAACGATCTTCTATTTGAGCGAGGGCTCAAACTTGGCCAGTTTTTGTGTAAGTGCAATGTAAGTTTACATTATTTTTGAAAGACAATTTATTTTAGACATTAGTTTGGGAATTCTCATGTGAAGAGTGCATTGTTGTAGTAATTGATTGATTATTGCAGTACATTATGAAGACACAAACTTTCGGTACTTTGCACTTCATTGCTTCAATTTCTTTTATTTGAAATTGGGATTTCTTTTACATCTTTCTGTGTTTTGTATTTGTGGGTTTTGTTATTCACTCTCATTGCTGCATTGTTATTGCAGGACTATTTTAATTCTTGGAGAGCATTATATGCATGATTTGTAGTGTACGAGTGAAATAGAATGGTAGATATTGATTGTAAAGGTATGTCAATCAATGGATATATCACTCTTGATCACTCTTTTCGTTCATAGATGGGTCTACGTTGGTTTACCCACTCAAAACCTACTCTTCTAATGGGCTAAATTGACATGCTCTACCATGTGGGGAGCTCAACCTTACAAGATTGGTTCATCTTGTTGCACGTTTGAGAGGATTCATTCAATCATTTCTAAGGCTTCATATGTGGGTTTGCCAAAAACGTTGTACTAGTACTTAGGTCATGATCATGAGTTGTTGCAGGTGCTGTGGCTGTCTCTATTTGACATAATGTTGATGGAGTGGCCAGCAGATTTATTGAAGACTTCGTGGCCACTTCTTTCTTCAGTAGGTGGAGAAGTTCACACTTGACATGAATCTCAATCTCTCAGGTTCTATACTGGAGTTCTTTAGAATATACACGTAAGGTCAGGTGGGTGTATCTAGACTATGTTACTTTTGAGAGCAGTCTTGGTAGGGTGGGCCTTTACTGATGATGGCATGAAGAGGGTGGTGGTTGCTAGATTAACAGACTATTTCGCTCATCTCTATGATATGAACTCGAGAAATTGCATTCTCTTTATTATTGTCTGCATTTTCTTGTGCTTGATTAATTATGACATTTAACTACATGCCAAATGGGTTTTATTTTGTAAAACTGATGTGTTTGATGGTATTATTGTCTTGAAATGCAGGTCAAGATTAGGCAGCAGAATAATAAGTGTCGAGAAAACTTATGAGAGTATTGGAAAGGATGAGAACGGGAGACCCATCCTTTTATCAGCATTGCCTTCTAGTTAGACAAGGGGAGCAACCAAGAGAAGGCTCGTTGCTACTACTTAATCTCATTGAAGATCAGATAGGGGGGATGATTGGCTACCTAGATTTGATGGTGCAGATGCACCGCCAAGTCCATCAAAATGTTTAGAGGTTTTTGTTTTTTAAATCCCATCCATTCTGTTTGCCTTTTATCAGTCCGATTTTCACTCCAGGTTTCTCCATGACATATTGGTTGCTTGCCCCAGAAAAAGGAGGAGAAAATGATTCCCATAATGAGCATTACCCGAATATCCAAATCTTCAGGTGTCTTGGTGCTATTGGGTTTTGTTTTATGTTCTTTTGTAATTTTTGTTCTCCTTTTGCTCAAGTTAGAGTTAATGGGTTTATTGGATTATCTTTTGCCTTTTGGATATGCCTCGATTTTTTATTTATTTTTCTATAAATTATGAGAAAAGTGATGAATAAGTTGATTTAGTTCTGTAATTCTGTTAATAAGGGTTTACATGGGCTTTTCTTTCCTCACTGAATGATGGTTATGGAAGCTGTTATCTTCTTTGTTATTACTTACATGGGCTTTTGCTGCTGGCTTTAATTAAAAGCCCTTTTAGGAATTTACCCATTCAACCCCGGATGTATGCTTTGTGATTGAGGAATTTGAAGAGTCATTTATTATTTTGAAGAGTCAGAAAACTTTTTGATTGCCTATGCAGAATGGGGGTTTTGGAGAAATGCAATGACAACTAACTAGTTGATTTCTTATTTTTTTTGGGTATACATTGAGGCATCAATGCACAAATTTGCCCATTTTGTGTATTTTCTCTGAGCATTCGCAAAGATTAGCTGTATCTTTGAACTATCAGGTGAATATATGACTTATTTAGATCAGCAAATCTGTGGCTACAGCATAGAGTATTGTGTCAAGTATTGTGAATTCTAAAATTCTCATCGATTTAGCTGCAAAACCAGTGAGATTTGTTGTCAAACTGAAGCAGGTTCTGCTTAGCCCTACTTGATGCTGCTTCATCTGAATCTTCAGCCAAAAACAATTACTTTTCTTTATATATAAAATTTTCATTAGATTTTTCAGTTTTTGAGAGAAACCAAGGACTTCACCAAAGGCAAAGAGGTTACAAAGCAAATTTGGCAATGTGTGTTGTCGATTTTGAAACAGTAGAAGTCCTCTTAGGTTGCGGGAGTTCCCATTGCAGAGGGCCCATTTGGTTAGCAGGAAATCTCTCCTGGAGGCTGATTTTTGAGAAATCGGCTTCATTCTTTGAAAGGTGTGCAACAGCTTTTCCATGAAATGCTGCTAATTTGTACGACGGGATGAATATTTGGGTACTGCTTTCTTATGAAACAAACATGGGAAGAAGGCTTGATCAAAGGAAATCTCTCTCGAAGAGAGATATTCCATGAACCAAACATGCCCTAAGGAAAAAAAGCGGATCCGTGGACAACTGGACAAGACTGACTTCAAATGAGGTCCATTTTTCCTTAGAAATTTGGTACAAATTGCCAAATTTTACAACCAAACGGTGCTGTGATCTCGAGATATGAATAAATAAACCTATTAATATTTTCTTATGGGACGGAGTGGAAGAATGGAGGAGACTCTCTAATGAGGAAGGGATCCAATTGATTCGAAAGAGAATCACCAAATTTCAATTGAAATGAAATCTTTAGGAGGAATTAATGAAGGGTGAGGTTTGTATAAGGTGCCTTACTAATAGTGTAGAAATAAGGAGCAACATCTAAATTTGGCCTTCGTTGTGGTGTTCAAAACCTTGCGATTGCTTGAACACTTGAAAATCTTGAAAATAGATGGTTCAGATAATTTTTTACAAGATGCACTATTTTTAGTGAGACTTGATATTCTTTTTTCTCCATACCCGTGCATTTAGACGGTGAGGTGATTAAATTAGAGCGTTTCCCCATGTCAGAATACTTTCCTCTGTACTTTCCTCGCTGATCTTTGATTCATCAATTGAGGCATGGAGGTTTTCAAGAATCAACCACCTAATGCTATAGATCGTCGATGGTCAATAGTTTCTGTTGGTTCTGCATGCTATGTATATTCTCTGCCTACTTTATACTCGCAGGGTATGGACCATCTAATGTGTTTTGACATGGACAGAGAAAAATGGGAAATAATCCATTCTCCAATTTGGCTCGTGAGCTCATGCTATTATGAAATCCAAGAGAGGGATGGTTGGCTTTGTCTAATACAGTTAACTCTAGATGAAATAGCACTGGCACAGATATGGGTTCTACTTCAAGAGAAGAAGTGGGTGCCGTTAATGAAAACAGATTTAGGGCAGTTGGGGTTTCATAAATTGGAGGAATTGGGGGTGGTGTTTGGAGAATTTCACATATATCCAAAATTCTTGTTTGGTGACACGTTACTTTGGAACATCTTGGCTATTGACGAGTTTTTCGATCATTCAGATGTTGGTTCGGGTCGGAAAGTTGGTTGGTGGAAGGTAACTTCTAACATAAAGAGTGGTGAGCCAGGGAAAATGGTTCGTGAGCTACGGAAAATGGTTCAAGATGCTCAAACCAGGTTTTTCATGTATCAACCCACACTATTCACCTGCAAGATGGAAAGAATGGAAAAATACATTTGGGGTAGTTTATAAGCTTCGGTTATTTACATCTCTAAATGAAATCTTTGTTTTGTGATTAAATATGTATGGAAGTTTGCTCTCTAATTTTTCATGGATAAGTAAGCAAGATTGAACCCAAAGCCTCACTCTTGTAGCAAAAAGATATTCTATGTGAGCGGCGGGCTCAAACTTGCCAAGTTTTTGTGTAAGTGCAAGATTTTATATTATTTTTGAAAGAGTTCTAGAGTTCTCATGTGAGTAGTGCATCGTTGTAGCAATTGATTGGTTATTGTAGTACATTATGAAGACACAAACTGTCGGTACTTTGCACCTCATTGCTTCAGGTTCTTTTATTTGAAATTGGAGTTTCTTTTACATCTTTCTGTGTTTTGTATTTGAGGGTTTTGTTATTCACGCTCATTGCTGCGTTGTTATTGCAGGACTATTTTAAGTCTTGGAGAGCATTATATGCGTGATTTCTAGTGTATGAGTGAAATAGAATGGTAGATACTGATTGTAGAGGTCTGTCGATCAAGCGATATATCACTCTTGATAACTCAAGCCAGCATGTTGCCAATATGAATTGAAATCTGTTTATGAAGTGAGAATCATGCAATGCTACCCGTCTTGTTCTTTTTTCATTTGTATATAATGGGATTGAAGTAGTGCTTTAGTTTTTTGTTATGTTATGGTTTGATAAACTCAAATTAGATTACTGATAAGTACATTGTAACAAAGAAAATAGTTGATTTCTTTTAGTTGTGAAGAATGATATAAATGTTAAACTTCTGCTTCATGGATTAGAGACCAAGGCTCTTACAATCTTGAGCATGCACTTCAGTCGCTCATCTGCCTTCATAAGTTCTTTTCATGATGCTCCAAAAAGCAACTGTATAGAATGCAGCTGATTTCTACGAGCACTCTCTCATCCAATATCTTGCCAAAAACCCAGTAATCAATCATAATTTTGTTTTGAATCCAGAGTCAGGCGAAGCATCTATGGAACTACTGCAAAACAGGGAGCAGGGAATCGGCAGTACTATTTTCTAACAAGATCCCTGTTCTTATCTTAGACATAATAATGATGACTCACACAAACTAGTCTTTTCAAATATCACGTGAACTGGTCTTTCGAAATGTCATTGTTATCCATCACCCTAATCCGTCCATGTTGCACACTTCTAACTTTAACTTCATTTCCAGATTCTTTTCTTTTGTTTGTGTGAATGTGGGGGTGCAAGCAATGAAAGATGATTTGAAGCAGATGAAGTTAAACGATTTGGAGCAGTTGGGTTTGGCTATTTCCCTTTGTTTCGGAATTCTGGATTGGTTACACATTACTCTTTTTTATTGTGTATGTATTTAATAAATTTATTTTCTAAGGTCGCTCTTTTCTGTGTATATTTGCGTTAACCACCATTTATGGCAGGTGATATTTTCTTTTCTTTTTGCGACATCTCCAGTAGTTTTAACAGTCTGGTGGTGGTAGCAAGAACATGGTCTCTTAAGAGATGGTAGACAAGTCGCAACAAAAAGTTTCTTAGGACATCTCCAGTATAGCCATAACAGTCCGGTAGTGGTAGCGAGAACATGGTCTCTTAAGAGATGATGGACAAGTTGCAACAAAAAGTAGGGGGGGTGGTTTAGCACCGTTATTGATGTTGGTAGCAGTGAGAAAATGTTCTTTTAAGAGATGGTGGACAAGTTGCAAGAAAAAGTAGAGTGGCATCCAAGATCATACTAGATTAAGTAGAGCAGAATTCGAGACCATAGTAGATTGCATGGTTAAAGAGAGGTACTAAAGTCCCTATTACGTTTAGATGCCTGGTTATTTTTCCTGATGGGGAAGACATGTGAATATTCAGTGTGGCGTGTTGTTATTCCATTGGACGCGTATCATCTGCTTCTTGGAAGGCCTTGGTTATATGTCCAAGACCTGTTGCATCATATGAAGTCTGATACCTACATGTTCTGTAAAGAATGTGAGGAATATATTTGAATCCCATGGAAGATGAACCTGGCATTAAGGAGAAAGAGGATGAGCCAGCATCCTGGTTATCCAATCTTTCTTCCGGGAGAGTTGAGGTACCAGGATGATTGTTGCTTTGGTTGGTCACCAACCATCTACATAATATGATAAAAAAAATTCACTCGAAGTTATTTCGATGCTGAGAAATACATCTCAACTTTGAGATAATGGATAAAAAAAAAAAAAAGGATTTTAAATCTTGGAAATAGTGCATCACAAGATGCATTATCTGAACTGTGACACTATTTGAAGGTGCATGTTTTAGTTGGGCCTAAACCACAGTGAAGAGAAAGAAAGAGCAAGGCTGTTTTTTAAGTCCAAATAGAAGTTCTGTGGATGTTTTTAGATTGTAGACAGTGTAATTTCTTTCTACATTTGGCAACTAAGGCTCGTTGCTCCCTCTTCTCTTTCAAATCGTGTCCTTAAGTTTTTATCCGAAGCTCGACTTTTACATATTCTGCATCTAACAAGCATATTATGACATAAATCTACCAACCGTTCTGGTTCCACATTTTGAAGCAGGTTCTACTGAGCCCCACTTCATGCTGGTCTGAAATCTTTAGCCAAAAACAAATTTTTTTCTTCATATATAAAATTTTCATCAAATTTTCCTCTTTCAAGGGAAACCAGAGGACTACACCAAAGGCAAAGAGTTTACAAAGCAAATTTGGCAATGTGTTTTGTCCATTACGAAACGGTATTTTGAAACAGTAGAAGTCGTATTAGGTGGGAGGAATTCCCATTGCTAAGGGCACATTTGGTTTGCAAGAAATCTCTCCTGGACACTGATTTTTGAGAAATCAGATTCAATATTTGAAAGGTATGGAACGGCTTTCCCATGAAATGCTGCTAATTTGTATGTCGGGATGGATATTTCTGCGTTTTGGTACTGTTTTTCCATGAAATAAACAAGACGGCTTGATCAAAGGAACTCTCTAGAGAGATTCCATGAACCAAACGTGCCTTAAAAAGAAAAGGCGTGGCTTGTATAGAGTCTAGGCTCTAAACAATCAAAGTAAAGCCCGTCTTCACATAGTGTTGAGAAATGTGGTTTCAATACTGGAAATCTTTGTGATAGCTATCAAATAAACTTTCATCTTTAATTATAAAATTTAAAATTTCAAAAATAGTGTAGATTGAAAAGATCTATGAATACTTAAAATCTTGAAAATTGACGGTCAAAAAATACGTTATCAGATGCACTACTTCCAAAACTTGAAATCCATTATTTTCTTATATCCGTGCATCTTGATATCAAGGTGATTAATTTGAGGATATTTGGGTAACAAAACAACCTCTTCTAGTGAAATTTTTGAGCTGGGCTCTAATGTAATTGTTTAGAGCCTCGGCTCTGTATAAACTTTTTCCAAAAAAAAAAAGAGAGTATCATGGACAACTGACGAGACTGATTCAAATGAGGTTCTTTTTTCCTAAGAAATTTGGTACAATTTGCCTAAATTTACAACCAAACTGTGTCAAGATATGGATAAACCTATTGATATTTTCTTATGGGACAAGGTGGAAGAATGGGGGAGATTTTCCGATTCCTTTGAAAGAGAATCATCAAATTTCAATTGAAATGAAATCTTTAGGAGGAATTAATGAAGGATGAGGTTTGTATTGTAGAAGTAAGGGGTAACTTCTAAATTTGGCATAGAGATGTAGTTGTGGTGTCGGAAACCTTGTGGTTGCTTGAAAATCTATTTTCACCCCTAGTTATGAATTTTGAAACTCTAAAAATGGTACAGATCAAGCGGATCTGAAACACTAAAAAAACTTGAAAATAGATAGGTCAAGAAAAAATTAAAATAAAACACTCTCCTCTGTAGGATTTTTGAGGTGCACCTTACTTTAAGGTTGAAACCTTATATAACATTTTTCTATTAATGAAAGGACATCAGTTCAAATCCTGGCCGTTCAAACTGAGATAGAGCAAGAATTCTCACTACTTTTTAGATTCATAACCAAATCGATTTAGTGGGATTTTTCACTCACATTTTTTTCACCAATAACGTTTTTTGAAACTTTTTGACCCCCTCCTTGAAGTGTCCTGCTTTCATGCAATTCACTGGCTTAACAAGCAATCGATATTCCATGACCAAAGATATAGTACTGCTTGTAATAGCGGTCTATGTAGATTAGATTAACATTCCCAATGTGGTTGAAAGAAAGTAAATCTCTATTCAATGAGGCTTCTTCATGTTGTGGCCTATGAAATTTTTTTTTTGTTTATTATTATCAATAGCTTGATTGTTTCGCTTTTGTTTGTTTCAAATGTAGAACTAATGGTGGTTTCTAAAATGAATAGGGTTGAAGAAATTGATCAAACGGCGAGAAAATCCCAAAATTCGGGGGTTAAAAAACGTTTACAATGCGTTTCACAATGAGTTTTTTTTCTGAAAGATGCCTCGTCCACAATGAGGGACAAATTTATTTAAAACGCAGTGCCAATTCTAGACTTCCGTGTGAAAAAGCGGTTTTTTCGCCTTAATGGTGAACCACAGGAAAATGGGGCTATTCTTAAAAAGGAAAAAGGAAAAGTAAGCCAACTCACCTGTAGATGTGTGCGGGCCCCCTTAAAAATCCATCTTAAATATGGATTTTGGATCTAAAATGTTGAGATTCGTTAATCTCTACTATTATGGTTATTATGTATTTGGAATTTTTACTTTTTGAAAATTTAAAATTGGAAAAAATTTAAATAGAGCCGAGGCTCTAAACAATTAAATTAGAGCCACATCAAAAATTTCACTAGAAGATGTTATTTTGATGCCTAAATATCCTCAAATTGATCATCTCGACATCAAGATGCATGAAAATGAGAAAAAAAAAAAAATCAATTTCAAGTTCTGGAAATAGTGCTAATGCATTTTTGATCGTCAATTTTCAAGATTTTCAATTTTTCATAGATCTGCTCAATCTACATTATTTAGATATGATAGTACCATTTTTTGACATCTACATCTACAATAGATGTCTGATGCATGAGGAGATGACATGTTTTAGTGAGTTGGCTACTCACCAAACCTTATATTGATGAGTTAGCTAACTCACCAAAACCGTGTTTTTTCAAAAATTAATTGATTCTTAATTAACTATAGTGTACTTGGCAATTTCGATTACATTGAGCTAGTTTACTGGTTTAGACCGATCTAAAACTGTCATGACTGATTTAGAGTTGGATTATGTGATTCTGGTCTGACCCGACGATTTTTTGTCCCTAAATCAAACAACTTTTGTGATATATACTTATTCCATGAAATATTTGGAAAATAGTTTACTAGATCAAAATCACCGGACACAATGAGGTGGAAGGCTCACTTGGCAAACTTATTACTCTTTGAAATTCTATGGTAGGAAGAATTTAAAAAGGAAAAATCGAACTCTTTGCATGGTTCATAGTTAGGAATTAGATTTGAGATGTGGAGATAGAAGTATGAAAATTTATCAAAATACCTACGAGAGATATACTATTAGCCTTTTATACTTTTTGATACCATTCCAAGATTGTGAGCTTTTTTATGGTATTTTGAAATTAAATCGAACAAGTAATGTTAAATAGTTCATCTCACATGAGTGTTTTCATGAATTTAAGGGAAGTGCGCATAAAAAAGTAAAATCATATTTCAAAACCTGCATAAATGAGACCTATGTGTGCCCTTTGTGAAAATTGAGATTCGGGACCTTCACCTATAAATCTGTATGATATCTACTTCAGCTAGTGGTTTTGAAATTTGAACCCTGTGCATATTTAGCATAATTCTATAAAATAAAGAGATGGGTAGATAATGTGTTAAAAAAAAGAAAAAAAAAAAAAAAAGAAAAGAAAAGAAGAGGCTTATAAAGGCCTCAAATTTATACTACACAAGCTCTTCAAAAATCCGCCAAAAAATGGTTGTACCAATATTGAAAACTTCTAAGTTGAGTATCTCGTTCTCCACATGTATGAATAAGTTTTTGAAAATTTGAAATTTGGCAATTCGGATCTCGAATCGCCAATTTCAACTAGGAATGCCGAAACTTAACTGGTTCCACGAATGAATCAATACCAGCCTGATCTCACCCACCCCCTCTAAAACGTCCCTTTCATTTATTTTTGTTTTCTTTCTTTCTTTTTTTTTAGTGCTCACCCACCCCATCAAAAACACACACGAATGCAAAGACACTCCTGTAAATCTCTCTTTTAAATTTTTTATTTTTAATATTTTTTGGATCCACTGGCTTGGACTGATCCAAATCAACGACCTGACACAAATATGTGGGGTAGACAATCTGCCTCACCAATCTTTGTTTTCACACAATAGTGTGAATATCTTAAAGGGTGTGGTTTTTATAGAGCATAGGCTCTAAATAATCAAATTAGAGCCTACCTTCAAATAGTATCTAAAAATGTAGTTTTAAAACTAGAAATCTTTGTGATAGCCTTAAAATATATTTTCATCTTTATTTATAAAGTTTAAAGCTTCAAAAGTAACGGAAAATCAACATATCTATGAAAATCTTGAAAATTGATGGTCCAAAAATGCATTACAAAATACACTATTTTCAAAACTTGAAATCCTCTTTTGTCCCATGTCATACATCTTGATTTCGAAATGATCAATTTGAGGATACCTGGGCATTAAAACAACATCTTCTTGTGAAATTTTTGTGGTAAACTCCAATTTAATTGTTTAGAGCCTCGGCTCTATATAAACTTTTCCCTATCTTAAAAATTGGAAATTATCACAAATATATTTTAATTTTTGTCTATTTAGAAAAAAACCTTTAACTTTCATAAACCTTGCCCACACCATTTTTCTTAAATTTTTTGCATTTTTTTTACCAAAATTATCTTCACAGTAGTCATATTACCGTGAAGCCAAAAATTGATCCATATTATACGACATCTTGAGTACTGTAAAAACTAACCCATGTTATATAAATTTTAAGTACGGTAAAAACTAACCCATGTTATACGACATTTTAAGTACGATAAAAATTAACCCATTTTATAGGGTGCCATAAAAACTAACCCATTTTATAGGGTATCATAAAAACTAACCCATGTTATAGGGCACTCAAAATGTTGTAAACCTTTTTCTCCTATTCATATTTATCTCTTTCATCTCTTTAATTTTTTCTATTTATCTCTTCTTTCTCTCTTTAATTATTTTTAATATTTATCTCTTCTTTCTCTCTCTCATTTTTTTTTAATTTTTATTTCTTCTTTCTATCTCTAATCTTTTTACCTATTCTTTCTCTCACTAACTCTATTTCTTTCTCTACTTACTTCATCAACTCAACAAACATGATTTCAACACGATACAAATATGACTCCGTCTAATTTTCATAGGGGATGGGGTTGAAGGGAGTTTTTATAGGGGATGGTAAAGCAGGTTCAGGTTGTTATACAAATATTCTTAGAGAGAGAAAAGATTTAGAAAGAGAGAAAAGAAAAAAAAAGAATTCGAGAGCGAAAAAAGAAATAAATATCAAAACGAATTAGAGAGAGAAAGAAGAAATAAACATAAAAAGAATTATAGAGATAAAAGAGATAAATATAAAAGGGTTACGTCATTTCGAGATCTCGGTAGAAAATGGTTTTTGGTATTCGAGTCACGTATACCGTGAAAGTTATTTTGGTAAAAAAAAAGCCAAAATTGAAAAAAAGGGTGTGGGATGTTTATGAAAGTTAAATGTTTTTTTTTCTAAATAAACGAAAATTAATCTCAAAGGGAAAAGTTCTCTAAACAATCAAATTTGAACCTACCTCAAAATTTTACTAGAAGAGGTTATTTTGATATTCAAATATCTTCAAATTGATCATTTCGATATCAAGAAGCACAAACATAAGAAAAAAATTGATTTTAAGTTTTGAAAATAGTATATTTTGTAACACATTTTTGGACAGTCAATTTTCAAAAATTTCAAGTTTTCATAGATATGCCAATTTATAAATAAATATCAAAAGAATATCACAAAGATCTCCACTCTATTAGGAGGAGCCTAGGCTCTACACAAATCGCACCCTGTACCAAATTTTGAAGAAGTGCATTTGTAACCGATATTTTTAAGAATTAATTGTTTAATATTTTAATAAATGTGTTGTATATGCTAGATCGATTTTAGATACCCGTAAGAGATGAATTATTTCATGGTTGGACGTGGTTCACTTTGGGTGATGGGACCTGCGTGTCCCCAACCACTTCACCGGATTAACGCCAGTCCCGATCGAGCAACACAGTGGATGATTGATGATGGTGGAGTTGGATCACAGAGTGAAGATCGTCCCTCGCCAATGAGGAACCGCCTCGTGATCAATTACACATGGGCTAACTACTGCAGCGGATTTTAACCGGTGTTTTGAATTAGAATCAACAGCGGATTTTTAATGGGTGTTTTGAATTATAATCGAGAGCGGATTTAAATGGGTGTTTTAAATTAGATTCGAGAGAGATGGATAAGTTAAACAAGTCAATTTCGTATGGGTTGATAAATTTTCCTTTTGTAATTAAGAGCACAAAATAAATTATCACATAAATTTCATTGAGCCTACGATGTAAACCTGGTCTTTTAAACCCTAGGCTGATGATCTATACCAGCTTCCATTTTTTGGTAGAATGAGAAATATGGGTTCTCTCTCTAAACTTGCAGATGGGTTTATGGAACGTTTTAGAGCAAGAATCTCTATATTCCTCTCATGTTTTCTAGAGAGAAAGAGGAGAGAGATGGTTATCTTGCCAGATGATGTGATCATCCAGATCCTTGCAGCACTGCCAGTGAAGTCCATAGGCAGATTCAAGGCCGTGTCGAAATCATGGAAAAGTTTGTTATCCTCTTACTACTTTGCCCTTACCCATTGTTCTCTTTCTACTTCCCAAGCTCTCTGTCTCTTACTACAGGGCCCCTACAATGACCAAGAAATGTTTTATGCGAGTGCTGAGAACTTTAACGAATTCTGTTTGTGTTCGAGTAAAAAAACAGGGTTTCAGCATCAAGGCCTGAAATGGATAGCCTGCCATAATGGCATCGTGTGCTGTCTCGTACTTTCAAAGACACAGGGCTCTCTATTCTTCATTGGAAACCCTCTTACCCAAAGGGAATTTGTAGCTCTGCCAAAACTAAAATTTCAAGTTCGTTATTCCTTTGGATTTTACTTTGACACCATTAATCAAAAGTTCAAAATACTTGCAATTACTGGTTCGGAGATTGGTACCTATCTGATCTTCGATTCATCAATTGGGGAGTGGGGGTTTCCAAGAAATCAACCACCTTATGATAAATATTGTCGAGGGTGGGTACTTTCTGTTGGTTCTGCATGCTATGTGTATTCTCCATATACTCTATACACGCAGGGTATTGACCATCTAATGTGTTTTGACATGGAGAGAGAAGAATGGGAAATAATCCATACTCCAATTTGGCTCACAAGCTCATGCTCTTACGAAATCCAAGAGAGGGATGGTCCGCTTTGTATAATACAGGTAACTCTTGATGAAATAGCACAGGCACACATATGGGTTCTACTTCAAGAGAAGAAGTGGGTGCAGTTAATGAAAATAGATTTAGGGCAGTTTGGGTTTCATAAATTGAAGCAATTGGGGGTGGCGTTCGAAGAACTTTGCATTCGTCCAGAATTCTTGATTGGTCATACATTACTTTTGAACATCTTCACTATCGGTGATCATTCAGAACTAGTTCCTTCGTGGAGGGAACAAGTTGGTTCGTGGATAGTAGCATATAACAGAAGGAGTAGGAAGCTAGGAAAAATGGTTCAAAATGCTCGAACCAGGTTTTTCATGTATCAACCCACACTATTCACATGCAAGATGGAAAAGGATGGAAAAATACATTTGGGGTAGTCTATGAGTTTGGTTTATTTACATCTCTAATGAAATATTTGTTTTGTGATTAAATATGTATGAAAGTTTGGTCTCTAATGGGCTAGATTGGGTACTGTGGGCTGTTTTTGCTTCTTTTTTCGTGGATAAGTAAGCAAGATTGAACCCACAGACTCACTCTTGTAACAAAACGATCTTCCATTGAAAGATCTCCCATTTGTCTTGTAACAAAAAGTTCTTCCATTTGAAAGATCTTCCATTTGAGTGATGGGCTCAAACTTGGCCAGGTTTAGGGTAAACGCAAAATTAAGTTTATATAATTTTTGAAAGACAGTTTATTTTAGACATTAGTTCTGTAATTCTCATGTGACCATTGCATTGTTGTAGCAATTGATTGATTATTGCAGTACATTATGAAACAAAACCTGTTGGTACATTTAGTTTCTGTTATTTGAAATTGGGGTTTCTTTTACATCTTTCTGAGTTTTTTATTTGCGGGTTTTGTTATTCACTCTCATTGCTGCGTTGTTATTGCATAACTATTTTAAGTCTTGGAAAGCATTATATGCATGATTTATATTGTATGAGTGAAATAGAATGGTTGTGAAGGTCTGTCGATCAAGGCATATGCCACTCTTGATAACTCAAGCCAGCATGTTACCTATATGAATTGAAATCTGTTTGTGAAGTGAAACTCATGCAATGTTACCTGTCTTGTTCTTTTTTCATTTGTATATAATGGGATTGAAGGAATGCTTTAGTTTTTTCTCATGTTATGGTTTGATAAACTCAGATTAGATTACTGATAAGTTTATTATAACGGAGAAAATAGTTCATTTCTTATAGTTGTGAAAAATGAAGTAAACGTTAAACTTCAAACTGCTTCATGGATTTGAGACCAAGGCTCTTGCAATCTTAAGCATGCATTTCAATCACTTGTCCGCCTTCATAAGTTGTTTTCATGATGCTCTAAAACAACTATGTAGAATGCAGCATTTCTGGGCTGATTTCTACGAGCATTCTCTCATCCAATCTCTTGACAAAAAGCCAGCAGTCAATCATAACTTTGTTCTGAATCCAGAGTCACGCGAAGCATCTATGGCACTACTGCAAAACTCTCTTTCCCAATTTTTTTAGAAGAATAGAGAAAAAGGAGATGAATTTTCTCTTCTCATGTTGCGAGATGATATGCTCATCATTGTCCCTATGGGCAAAATGAAATTTCTCTTCCTACCTCTCAATCTTTCTCCACAGTAGCAACAATAAAATGTTCTATGCTCACATTCGCAATATTAGCAGTCCTTTGTTTACAAACACAGAGGTTCATCATTAAGACCTGGACTTGTGTCCTGGGCCTGCCCTAATGGAATAGTATAGAATGTCAAAGTGATAGTTTCCTTATTGGAAAATTGTTTCATGCGGCGGGGACCGCATTTCTACATTTGCGGTCCCCGAGGTATAAAGCATCCATCTTAAAGATGGATGCAAATAGGTGGTCCATCAGAAAATAATTGAAACTAACAGCCCAAATGTTTTTGTAATAGAATTACTATTTTTATTTTTATTATTTTCATATTCATGATCTCCATGTTAAAGAGTACATGTCCTTAAAAATTAGGTGCAAAAATCCATCTCATAAATAGATTTTTATGAGGTGACTCATTTCTACATGGACTTATAGAAACCGTGTCCTTTATTTGCTATTGAAAACCATCTTACCTCTTAAATATAATTGTAAAATCTGGCATTGATATAGAAGACAATAATCCTCATTGTTTCATTGCCTTTCTAATCTTTGATTCATTGATCAAGAGATGGAGGACGCAAAGAAATATACCTCAAGTGCATTATATACCCTGTGAATGTTGGTTTGTATCATCACCAAGACTTTGTTTGCACAGACATGAGAGGTGTTTTGTAACAAGTTTTCACATTGAGAGAGAATAATGGGAAACAAGATGCATTATTTTTAGTGAGACTATATATATATATATTTTCCAGTACATCTGGAGGTTGAGATGATTGAATTAGAGGGTTTCCCAACATTGGAACACTCTCCTCTGATTTTTGAGGTGCACCTTACTTCATGTCTGAAACCTTATATAACTTTTTCTATTAATGAAAGGACACCAATTCAAATCATTGCCCTTCAAATTGAGAGATCAAGAATTTTCACTATTTCTTAGATTCATGACCAAATCGATTTAGTGAGAATTTTCACTCACATTTTTTTTCACCAAGAATGTTTGTTGAAACTTTTTGACCCCCAAATTTGGAGTGTCCTCCTTTCATGCAATTCACTGGCTTTAACAAACAATTGATATTCCATGATCAAAGATGTAGTACTGGTTGTAATAGTGGATAATATATATATGAAAACGCTGAGATTAGCCCACTAGCTCATATGAACATATGAGTTCATATGAGCCTAATAGCCTAGATTGAATGCTGAGATTAGCCCACTAGCTCATATGAACATATGAGCCCAACGATCCAGATTGAATTTGGCTGATATGATGGTCATGACCTCATTTCGTGTTTGAATTCTAATGTTTTTTATACCAATCCAAATAACTTGAAATTTTAGGCGTTCATTCTTCTCATCAAGAGACACTTAATAAAAATATTTAAAAAATAACTTGCACTAAATTTATTAATAAAAAAATACCCCAAAAACATTTCAAGGGTATTTTGGTCAATTTATTTTTAAGAAATTACTTTTTGATATTTTTATTAGATTATCCTATTTTTGAATAACACAAGCCTAAAATTTCACATTATTTTGAAAAAAATTAAAATTAAAATACAAAATGAGGTTGTGACTGTTAGATCGGCCCAGATTCAATCTGGGCCATTGGGCTCATATGAACTCATATGTTCATATGAGCTAGTGGGCTAATCTCAAAATTTTCCTATATATATTAAGTATATAATTTATATGTAAATAAAATATATAATAATATATAAAAAAATGTTTCATGCAGGCTGGACCACATTTCTACATATGCAGTCCAAAAGTGTAAAGCGTCCATCTTAAAGATGGATGCCAGTAAGTAGTCCATCTTAAAACAATAGGAACTAACCGATCAAATGTTTTCTTAATAAAATTATTATTTCTACTTTTTAAAATTTATTTATTTTTCATATTCATGATCTCCATGTTAGAGATTACATGTTCTTAAAAATTACGTCCAAAAAACCATCTCCCATATAGATTTTTAAGAGGCACCGCATTTCTACATGTGCAAGCTTGGCCCGCATGCATGTGAAAACAAATGCACGGGAATATTTCCCCACCTCAATAGGTGTGGTTTTATTTGACAATGAATTAGAATATTTCCTGGTAAAACCTTTTACCATGGTATTTTATTTGCATATGCATTTGCACGAACCAAACGTATGAAACACGATTTACATATGTAATTCTCGAGGCATACTTACGTATGAACCAAATGTACCCTAATAGAATCTTTGGAATGTAAGATATCTATACATAATGATACAATGGAAAGGAATAATAAAAAAAATGAGGATTTCATCTTAGTTAAGAAATAATATTGAAGTTTGGAAGCTAATTAGTATAAAATTAAATGTAGGGTAATTATATAAAGAGATTGTATACAAAGCAAGGTTTAAAAAAAAGGATCGGTGATCGAATCGGTCACACCTATACCCGTGTCGGATAAGAGAATCGGTGGATTGGATCGAAAAATAGGTGAAATCGGTAATTTTTGTCTCAACATTTTGTCAAAAACTCACTATAAATATCTAAAAATAGTGTTATTTTTTATCTCTTAGCATAAATTAATGAGAAATTGTTGAGGGATAATAGAGAGGAGCTTGTGTTTATTACAGATCTTTTAAAGATCATGGTTGACCTTGAGGTCGATCCTCGGTAAGTTCAATATTTCTATCATTTTGTGCAGTGAAGTGTTATACTAATTTCTATTTCTATTTAGCTTTTGATAAATATGAATCTTTTTTTTTTGTATTCTTGTTTTTTAAGCCAGATGTATGTTATATTTTATCCCATCCAGTTTTTTTGTATTCTTGTTTTCTAAGCTAGATGTATATTATATTTTATCCCATCCAGTTTTTTTGGATAGGCCACGGCCTAAGCGGTCCAAGAGCCCAGGCTTGGGCCGTATGTAGGTATCTAGGTCCACACTTAGTCACCTAAACCTGCCTAGGCTGTTCCTAGGCAGTTATCTAGGACCTAGTCACCTAGACCAGCTTAAGCAGTTATCTAGGCCTCCGCGTCAAGCCCCTTTGAGGCAGATGCTTAGTACAAGGTTTTGTGTCCAGAACCTAGGTTCCCTGTCGGTTCCTAGATAACCCTTTGATCCTAGACCTGCTTAGGCGGTTATCTAGGCCTCTGCCTCAAGCCCCTCTGAGGTGGATGCCTAGTACAAGGTTTTGTGTCCAGCACCTAGGTTCCATGTCGGTTCCTAGATAACCGGTTTTGTGTCCAGCACATAGGTTCCATGTCGGTTCCTAGATAACCCTTTGAGGTAGGCGCATAGGGTGTTTTGTGTCAAGCACCTAGGTTCCTTGTCGTTTCCTAGATAACCCTTTGAGGTGGGTGTATAGGGTCCTAGATAACCTAGACCCCGACTAGGCGGTTATCTAGCCCCTTTGAGGTGGGTGCATACACCGAGGTTCTGTGTCCAGTGTTATGTGCCTGTTCTGCAGGGGGCCTAGGCACTTGGACCCATGCGCTAGGCCCAGTGCCAAGGTCCTTTGCCGTTTCTGGGGGCCTAGCAAGCGAACTTCTTAAGTACTTACACCAACTAGAAATGATTAGTCTAACTATATCTTTTTTTTTTTTTATGTTTATGCTTTTATTGATGCAAACTTTGTGTAAGAAATATTATTATTATTATAGTATTTAATTTCTAGGAGATTTCTTTGACAATACCTAGCAAACTCTCTACCTTTTGTTTAGCGGGGTTGTACCTAGCAAACTCTCTACCATGTTTAATTTAAACGAGTACTTTGAATATTTGTTTGGATTTGATGGTAAAGAATGAGGCAATGGGTTTTCTTTGCTTTCTAAGAAGTTCTTGTTTGGAAACACTGTCTAGGTGAGCAATAGCAAATTTGTTGCCTAGCCTAGTCGTGCCCCTGCTTGGGCGCTGCGTTGGGCATTGCCCCCCCTGCTGAGGCAGGCACCAGCGCCAAGGTTTTGTGCCTAGCCCAGCTGAGCGCCAAGGTTATGTGCCTTGCCTAGGTTCTACTAAGGCCTAGGCACTTGTACCCCATCTAAGCGGTCTAAAATTTTAAACCAATCAATTTAAAGATAATGTCAACTTCACACATGTGTGTGAAGATATTTTTCAACTCAAATTTGAAAATACATTTTCTCTTTAATATCAAATAAATAAATTAATTAAACTTCACACATGCCA